TATTAACACTTCTTCTTTAGGAGACCCAAACCAAACCAAACAACAACACTCACGTTTTGTCACCTTGGACTCTGTCAAAAAGTAAATTGTTTTTCCAAAAAAAAAAAAAAAAAATCAATTCGTGTCTGTCCTACCAAATAAACCAATAGGATAAATAATTAGTGTGTACGCGTCAATCGTATCACAAAACTTCTTTATCTTAAAACGATGCCACGCAACAAAGCAACTGATAGCAAAAGAAGTAAACAAACAGAAACAAGAAATGACAGGTAAGTGTTTTAAGGATGGTGGTGGTGGTTATTGCCCGCCACCTGTCGTCACTCTAGTTTTTTTGAAAAATTGGCATCATGGCACAAAAAGTTCAGCGACTAAGTGACTTGCACTATATTTTTATTCAGTCGGATACCACTAGAAGATGTTAGCAATGTTTATGATAAAGATAATGGAGATTCATGGGTTGGGTAAGTTTTTATCATAAGAATGGTGATGATTACAACACATCGTCACTCTAGTTTTCTATTAAAATCCCCTGGTTGATAAATGATCTGCGAATTAAAAATAATTAATCTTACAAATCTTTTTTAAGAAATAGTGAAATTGGTAAAGAATTAAACAAGACGAGAGTGGATTATGAAAAGGCGTTGAAGAAGTTGGAGCAGTTCGAGGAGGGGTGGAAAGAGAAGAAGATATGGGAATTGGAGGATAAGTTGGAGGACAGAAATTGGAGGAACGGAGATCAGAAGAAGGGTTGGGAAAGGCAAAGGGACGAATTAAAAAAGGAAAAAAAAGAGTTGAAAGAGGATAAAAATTGCTGGAAGGAGCAGATGAAGATTTTGCAAAATGCACTAGTTGAATTTAGCAAGAAAGGAGAAGGTAATGAACAAATTGCGTAAAAAATATACAAAAAATTATTTTCCATTTCGTTTATTTATTTATTTGATATATTGTTTACAATGCTGACTAACTTGTTTCTTCCTTGCAAATTGCACTAAGTTGTAGTAGGAAAAGTCAAACGTAAATTTGAGGAAGAAACAGAAGTAGAAGGTAAAGTAAAATCATTTAATATTCCTACAGCAAGTTTTATAGAATTTTTTATCTCCTTCAAATCTTCTTTTTTTACTTTCGAAAACAATGAATTTATAGTCTCATATCCATCAAGATATTGCATTACAATAAATTTATACCCAGAATTTATGTCTGAATAATGAATGATTTTTGGTGCTATTTGATGTTCAGCACAGAAACTGTGTGCATCATAACCATAAGTTTCAGAAAACTTGACTATGTGTTTTGTATCATCATTCTCTTCTACAAGATACACCAGACTTTGTAAAATGTCAACACAACATTTTTTGTATTGAAAAGATACCACTAAAGAATCCTTTGTGTATGACCTTATCCATGGAAACCTTCCCACGTTTCTATCAATCTTTTTTTCTGGAACTAATAAACATTCACTATAGTATTTTTCCAAAGTTTTAATCGCCTCATGTAAAGAACAAAATATTCTTGTCAGTCGATTTATCCATGATTCAAAAAAATCAGGTCTGACTACAAGATTTTCTGCTATTAAAGGACATATTGTAACCCTTTCCCCAAATACAGCACCTGCAATCTCAAATCGTGCACCATGCAAACAAACTAGAAAACATGGAATACAAGTATTCAGGATAAGATCTTCATCATCTTCGGCATGTTGAACCACATATTCTTGGTAGTATGTGCTGATTTGCACATATGGATCTACCTTTGATGATTCATTTTTGTATTCGAATCCTACTAACAAGGCATCCTTTTCTGATTTTGAATATTCTAACTTTACTAATGCATCAAATCTAACTTCTTCATTACAATTCCTCTTCTTCCTATCTTTTCCATCTATATTATACCCCAAAAAACTGTTAAGTTTATTTTCAAATTCTTTTTCCCTGTCATTTTCTGAATCATAAGTATCTCCCATTGCACATGCTAACTTGAAAATTTTTTCTTTTCTTTCATCATCAAATGATGTTGATTCACAATCAAGCATGAACTTTTCAAAAACAGGGTGACATAGTGTCAATGGAATATCAAATTTTCCAGTTGGGCGGCAAATATAAAAAGGAGGATCATTGTCACTCAACAAGGATTCCCATTTACCTTTTTCTGCAAATTTTGATGCACTTGGTCGTTTTTTTTTGCTTATTTTTATTAATTTGTTAATTGGGCCTATTATGAAGGAAAATATTTGATAAATTTATTTTGTTTCACATTATCAAACTTTATGAGGAATATTAAATCATTTTACTTTACCTTCTTCTACTTCTGTTTCTTCCTCAAATTTACGTTTGACTTTTCCTACTACGATTCAGTGCAATTTGCAAGGAAGAAACAAGTTAGTCAGCATTGTAAACAATATATCAAATAAATAAATAAACGAAATGGAAAATAATTTTTTGTATATTTTTTTACGCAATTTATTCATTACCTTCTCCTTTCTTGCTAAATTCAACTAGTGCATTTTGTAAAATCTTCATCTGTTCCTTCCAGTCATTTTTATTCTCTTTCAACTCTTGTTTTTCCTTTTTCAATTCGTCCCTTTGCCTTTCCCAACTATTCTTTTGATCTTCATTCCTCCAAATTCTGTCATCCAACTTACCCTCCAATTCCCATATCTTCTTCTCTTTCCACCCCTCCTCGAACTGCTCCAACTTCTTCAACGCCTTCTCATAATCCACCCTTGTCTTGTTTAATTCTTTACCAATTTCACTATTTCTTAAAAAAGATTTGTAAGATTAATTATTTTTTAATTCGCAGATCATTTATCAACAGGGGATTTTAATAGAAAATGTTAGGGGGCACATTTACTAATTTAAAAAAAATATTGACTGTTTGTAAAATGATTATACAACATATAAAATTATATTTCACTAAATTTTATTAATTGTATTTTATTATACACAAAGAAAGCTATGTATGTAGTCAATATTGAGAAGGTTTTTTTTGGTATTTTATATATAAAACTAGAGTGACGGCAAGTGGAGACAATCAACATTCTTATGATAAACACTTACTCATTTCTTTCGTTTGGGTCCGTATTCTCTTTATTTCTTTTTTTTTGTTGTTTTCTGTCGTCTGGCATTGTTTTTTTTAAAATTAAAATTAAAAAAAATTTGTTGATCGCTCAACAACGCGTACACATTATTTATGGTTTTTTT